CTCTTCCCCAAAATCAAAATGACTCAGGACAGCGAAGCAGCCACAATAGCGCAACTGAAGACACGAAACAGGACTTCCAGAACTGCTTCAGAAAGTGGTGAGAACGATGGGATAAGTGTGTTTGAAGTGAGGGGGAGTACTTTGAGGAGGATTAATGGAAATGTGTCTTTTACTGTAATTTTTTTTTATTTAAACATTCATATTTTTTTTATCACACCTCATAGCCAGCCCTCCGCCATATTCCTCAAAGCTCGGATGCCACACTCTCCGCAGCATTTCCCGGGGTCGCTTCACCAGGCCCTGCCCCACTCAACAGACCTGTGTCTGCGTCTGTCTCTAGGTCCCTCCGCAGGCCTCATCATGCGCCCATGAAGACTACCAGCTGGGGCTCCCCCTTATGAGGCCCCTTGCCCTTCTCCACCAGGCTGCAGAAATCCCACGCGACGCCCTCGCAGCTGGAGAGGTTCGTCTGGCCTCTGCCCTTAGCATCCGCGCCTCCTTCCTCCTCCTCCGGCACCTTCCCCCAGAATGACTTCACTCTTCCTTCAACCTCGTGCTTCCATGGCACTCGCATGACTGCCCAGCAGCATGATCTGCACAGGGTTTGGTTTGTTTATTGTTTTGCTTAGTTTTCAAATGGTTCCATCAGCAGAGTACCCAAAAGCCTCTGGCTACGCCCAGCAGCGCCCAATGCCTGGGGACTCTGAGACACCCCCTCTGTACGGTGTCAGGAGAACGTGCAAAGTACATACGTCTGTTAAACTCCCCAACAGTCTGGACCATCTGAGGATCGGGGACAGGAAGTTTCATAAAACAAAAGTGACAAAATACCAAACAACATAAAAGGCTTGCTGCTACTTTGGACCACGGCGAGTAATTCCACTTTAATATCTGTAGAGCTAATTTGCCTGTTCCTGCAAAGCAGGCTGGAGAGGCAGCTGTGAACTTAGACCCCTCAAACCTGTGGAAGCTAATTGGGGCTTTTAAGGGGTGTTCAAAAGGCAGAGTTCTGAAATAACTTTCTAATGGGTCCAGGTGCTTTTCATGTTGAAAATCAAAAGTGATTAAATAAGACATGAAGCTTTCTGTGCTAAGTGGATGCAAACAACAATTTCTTTTGAAGCCGATGTTTTCGAAATGGATATTTATGAGCATGGCCCCCGGCTGACCGACAGTGAGTGTTCTGGCTCAATGCGTCCGAGACAAGAAAACCTACAGCCCACGATTTCCAGGTGATCTATCGTCCCTGAGTGCAACATACTCGATGGACTTGAGGAGTTCCACCCAGAAAATGAAGCCGCTGACGTTTATCTGCCTCACACGGATCTGGGAAGGTCAGCAAACCATTAGACGGACAGCAGGCGTACAGAGGAGAGGGCCTGGCAGGATGCCGGGAGCGCTTCCAAGACGAACAGCCCTGGGAAAATTCACGTCTCCTCTTGAGGTTGTTTTAAAAAGCCTTGGTTTCAAGCCACAGTGTCCACAGTATGAAAATTGCCCCCAAAGAGGCTCTGCTTCCCCCAAATGCTATTTCCTCCATGCCTGGCAAAGACAAGGCCCACGAATGGGAGGAGAAATGGCAGACGGGAGGCCCCTGCACGGCCGCAGGAGCTTGCTGAGCGGCCGGCACCTGAGCTCTGCACCCTGGGGGCAGGGCCCCGTGTACACACCTCACACACGGCCTGCGGCCCGCAGCCTGTAAATGGGTTGTCTCCCCGGCTAAATGGGGGTGCTACCTGGACATGCAGTGTAAGGACTTCTGTTTCCATCAGTCCCCAAGGAGCAGAAAGTTATCTGCAGCCATGAGGGGAAGAAGGGAAACCTAGACAGCTCCGAATCTGTTACTGCTCTCAGGACGCAGAAAGCCACAGGGAACATCACCCCGTCCCTAACAAGGGGAAAAGCTGGGATCTGCGTCACTGTCAGGAACCCAATGTCATGAAGTGTGGACGGAGGTCATGGGACAAGCAGGTGAACTGAACAGTCACCAAGATGGAGCAGAGAACTGGTGCGTCTCCGTCAGAGCTCAGGGGAAGAGGCTGCCGCTGCCAGAGCGGGTCAGCAGAAACAAGTGGAGATGACTACATGAGGAACTCCTAACAGCACAGAGCAGAATGAAACAGAGAAACACGCCTAGCACAACACAGGCGGCTAAACTAAAACTAAGGCAAATATATTGAAGGAAATGAAGGAATGACCAGGCCTGGTCTCTCCGTGCAAGAACGAAAGACTGTTCAGCCTTTTAGCAAAAGTAGGACGTTAGCAGTTATCTCCCCCACGTGGTCCCTACTACACCCCATAAACAGTACCCAGAGTGACAGGACTCTGTGTCTCCCCCTGAGGCGCCCACACAGGAACCAGCCTGGCATGGCATTTTGTGCAGACCCACCAAAACTTCCTAAAGCTGTAACTCACTGAACGACACAGTTTTGGTTATTGTTGTAATGGGATTAAAATTAGCTTTTCAAATGGGACAAAAAAAATGTCTGGAATTAGAGCCATCTAAATACTAAATGCAGTGTGAATACAAAACTGAAACTAACCATGTTATGGTCCAAACGCAATGGTATCTTTTTTTAATTGAGTCTTGTAAAACCCAGATAATATGGGGAAAATATGAACTTACAGAGATTGTTGTTCTAGAACTTTTTTTTTTTTTGGTTCTTGATATTGATTTGATTGCTGTAGCCAATAATCCCAATTCGCTTTTGAAAAGTTGCACTCATATGCAAAGACTATCTGAATTTATCCAAAGCTTAGGAAACAGGATTTCAAAACTAAAGCTCTGGGATAAAATATAAAGAATGCATGGAAAAGAGAAATTAAAGCAGAGTCTGAGGCCCACCCTGCATGGCTGGTATCTCCCAACCCAGGTCCCTGCTGGTCCGCTCCACTCGCGGTGTGGGATCCCGTCTGAGGTCCAGCCCACGGGGGTCCCCGGAGTCAAGGCCAGGTCTGCTCTCCTCATGGGCAGTGAGCGTGTGTGAGTGCTGCAAAGGTACCAGCCTGCACCTGGGCGCCTTGAGGCGGCTTCGTGATCCCTGAGTCAAGGCTCAAATATTCAAATGAACATGAGACTTATAAAGGTGGGGTCATTACTGCCGTTTGTTTCATTTGAGGAAAGTAGACCAGAGACTATGTGACTGAATAAAAGGTAAACGTTTGTGGTAGGTAAGCGGGTTAACTCTGCAGTCCTTCGGCCTGGGTTGGTCCCCACTCTGCCCCTTACCCGCTTGTGCCTCAGTTTCTCATGTTTACAAACGAATCATAACCACACCCGCCTCACAGCGGCTTCAGTGAATTGTTCCAGGCATGGCTGGCCTGCTGCGAGCCTTCAATGAACTCATAACTGTAAGGCCCAGAACAGGACCTGGCATATCCCTGGTGGTCTTTGCATACATTTTAACTATTTGTATCATTCTGATGAATCAACTTTAGATTAAAACAAAGTACAAGACAAATTAATTGAATTGGAAATAACACACTTTCCTGGTAAAACCCCAACAGTGTTCTTTTTGCTGAAGTGATAGAAACAGCCCCTTGTGTGGGGTACCCATGTCCGTGTTCAGAGCCATGGAGACAGTGTCACAGGCACTCATGGGCAAAGGTTCTGGTAACATCTCCGGTTCTGATAAGAGGAACTGGGGCCTTCTGCCTGTACGTCGGCATCTTCAAAACACATTGTTGGCACCTCTGTGACCACTGCACACGTATAAAGTAACTACACTAAAACTAACTCCCGCCTCTGGAACGAGTCTCACTGTGAAATCCGTTTTTTGAATATGCACATTTAAATCCTATTATTCTGAGCAGTAATAGCGGTCTAACCCTTTACTGTTACATGGAGCAATTTAACGTTTCGGAGGTACTCCAGCTCCTAATGTCCGTATGAGATGGGCATGATATTATGAATCAGAATGGCAAACCTGCCGTGGGTTTGCTTTAATGAGCCGACAAGCAGCTCTCCTCCACCACAAACACCAGAAGAGCACTCTCCTAAGAACCCCAGACAGTAGCTTTACGGCCCGCAGAAGTGAAGTGGAGGGCTAGAGCATTACTATCCTGGGAAGGACATCGTCATTATGTGCTTTCTCTAAAGCTTTTATGTTACAGCTAAGGTAACAGTAAAATCCAGCAGAGGCTCGAATTCGAATTGCTCTTAAGGGGATGAGGCATGTCTCTTAAATTTTGAAAATGTCTTTTATATACAGACCGCAAGCCCATTAAAGGCCACACTGGCAAGGAACTCTGAGCACAACGACGATGCAGTGAGAAGATGGATGGAGCAGAACCAAGAAGAGCTATTCAAAACAACACCCAGTTTTCACGCGGCAAGTCCACAGGCGGAGTCTAAGTGTGCCCCAAACTGAATACTCTGGTCTGGATGGAGGGGGAGCCGCTCAGGCTGTTTACAGAATGGGAGGCGGGCGCTTGAGTCTGGGAAAGCCCATCTGTGACAGAATGACAGCCGTGCAGGGAGAGGGGAGCACAGCAGAGGAACACAGGGCACCCTGGGAGAGAGGCCGACGCCCCGGGCACGCCTGCAAACGGGGAGCTGTCCGCCTTTGCCTCCCACCTCTCCCACCATTTACAGAATTTTCACCAGCTTTCTGGCCGATATACCTGTTCACGTGTATTGCGGCCACACGCTGACTCACCTCTATTCAGGAACGTTCCTGTCACTGGCAACTGCTCTGCAAGACGGCACCTTCTTATTCATTAGCGTTAAAATGTCACAATGTGTTTATTTGGCAGTTGGTCATTTATAACTCCTACTACCCGTGAACACAGTATCACAGTTCAAAGAACGGGCACTCGTTAGGGGTTTGGATTTCTGTTTCTTTCATTGTTTTGTCTTTCAAAACAAATCCCCAAATGTCTATCATAAATATAAACATACAATTTTGATACATTGCCTCTATTTTCTCACGTAGCCCTAAGTTTGTTTACAGGAGTATGGTTTTTATGAGCAATATGACTGACATAGGAAATAGTCTTACCCTGGTGTGGGTCCGGATGTGCATTTTCAGTCCGTCGTTTTTGCTGAACCCTTTGTCACAGTAAGGGCACTGGTAAGGACGCTCACCTACAAAACAGAGGGAGGCTTCATGGAGTAAAGCACGACGGAGCAGAGCGAGCACGTGCCAACCCCTCCTCCCACATCAGACCCTGTCCCCACCGCCCTGCATGCATGGCAGGGCGGACACACCCTGGCGGGGCAGGGCGGACACACCCTGGCGGGGCCGGGCAGTGGCCTGGCCGTGACTCAGCTCCCTCTGTCACTGTACTGGGCGGCTTCCATTGCTTCATGGACACTTTGTTTAAAAAAAAAAAGGGGGGATTTCATATTCTATGTCAGGGCGCTGAGTTTCCAAATGATTTCATAGAATTGGTGCATGTTAAACAGAACCATTGGCAGTTAAACTAATAGTAGATAGATACACACTTTCTGATAAAACTGAGTACCTCTCATCTAAAGGTTATCCAGAAAATAGTCAAGCCATTTTGCAACACAAGCAAGCATACATATACACATCACATTTTTTTTTTAAAGTTCTATTGTGAAATGTGAAAAAAATGTGACAAAACTTGATCTCCAGGAGGAATCTGCAGCAGCCCTCCACCAGTCTAATCATACAATGGGCAGTAACTCCAAATCACTAAGTATTTATTCCCTGATTTAAATACTGACATGGGAGACAGGAGACCCAGCTTGCAATCAAAGACCAATACAATAGAACAGTTGCCTTTCGACACACAAAACTTCTGTCTTTCCCTCGCAGCTAGTCTTCAGGTCCCCCAGCCTATGTGCGGTTTTGCTCTCCAGCACCCACAGAATAGCCAGCAAACAACATCAAAGAACGCAGTTATCAGCTAATTTATATGCTAATTAAGCCTCATCTAGCAGACTGGCTATTATTTTCTTTCATAATAGCTACATTTCCTCTATCACCAGGAAAAGGTTAACTTCTTTTAAAAGCATGGTCTTTTCTCCCTTTTCAGAATCTGATTGTCCTGAGGAGTTCTGCCCATCTTTCCAGCTGTAACTCTGGGAGAGAGATTTAACCTCACCGAACCTCTAAAAATGAGGTAATTCTGTCCGTCTCACGGGTGCAGCAACCGCGTATTCAGGTTTGCGCGAGGCAGGCTCATGCTGCCGCTCCTGGCACAAGTGTGAACAGTACTCCCTCCCACTTTCACAAGTGTCCCAATCAGGAACATAAAAATATATGGTCACCTGTTGTGGACTGAATTGTCCCGTGTCTACCCACCGCGCAAACCAAAATCCACATGTTGAAGTCCTAACCCCAGGACCTCAGGGTGTGACCTCATTTGGAAATAGGGTCCTTAGGGTCCTGGCACATGTTACTGGGATAGTGGGCCCCTAACCTGATATGACTAATGTCCTATTAAGAAGATGGCCATGTGAAGACAGACACAGAGGGACGATGCCACAGGAAGAGGGGAGCACCTTCAGGGCAGAGGGGTGGCCCTGCTGACTCCCTCTGGTCTCAGACTTGCAGCCTCCAGAACTGTTAGATGACAAAGTCTCACTGTTTAAGCCACTCACTTTGTGATGCCTCGTTACCAAGCAAACTAATGCCATCACCTCGTCATCATGGCAGCAAAGACTGTCACTCACGTCCATCTAGCTGCTGCCCGTGAGGCCTGTGCAGTTGCTCAGGACCGAAGCCGGAAGGTCTAGACAGCCGGATTTGTCCCCCAGTCCCCTGCCGCCCGGAGAGCCAGTGGCACTGAGCTGCCATGTTTGAGAAACCTGGTGACTTCGACTCCACTCCTTCTACTGGTCCAGAACAGAGCTCCAGTTTTAAAGGTGTCCCTAAATGACTTTGATAAAGGGAATGTGTCGGGAAACTACAGTGTGCTCCGCAGACCTACAGGCTACGCTCCACTGCTGCCCTCTCCTCTTCTGGATGGAGCATGTTTAGGGTACTCCTGTGTTTCTCAGACTCTGAGGACAAAACCATGGCTGCCCCCCCACTCTCACACTGGGGAAACCTGGACGAGCCAATGTATCCCTAACTATTAAAGTCATTTGCTTCACTTGTCTATTAAAGACAAGCTGTTTGTTCCTGGGTGTTTTTCACAGTATGTGTATAATACTTTCTTTCCTTCATTATCTAAAATTATTGTGATGGGTACGTTTGAAGGAAATATTTTGTCTGCACAGAAAATTACCCTGGTATGAACGGGAAGTAACCTTCAGCCTGAGAGAACTCAAAACGTGGGTCTTGCTTTCTCACTTCAGCACTGTCGGTCCACAGGTCCTGTGCACAGCAGGATGCAAATCCAAAGAGGCACTCCTTTTTAACACCTCTGGTAGATCCAGACACTGTCTTCATTTTGTTTGGGCTAATCACAGTGCTCAAGTTCTGACTAGCATGCAAATTAGTTAAGCTGAAAATTAGCTAATAAAATGGAGCTAAAACCCCATCTACAGTGGAAATAATTATAACAGCAGCTGAAACGTTCAGCGCCTATGATCAGCCTCTGTTCTGTTTATGATGCTTAGAGTAGCAATTTTAATTCTTGCAACAACCTTATGATCTAAGTATCATATCCCTAGTATACAAATAAAGAGAGTAAGACACCAAAAGGATAAGTCATTTGCTCAAGAGGACGCAGCTATCAAACAGTGGAATCAGAAATGAACCCTCACCTTAATCCTTAACTCTGTGCCATCACACACATTAATGACATGGCTAGTATTCTGTCTAAAATAGGTTAGACTTTTTAAAGTTATTGGCAGAAACTCTGCTTTTTGCAGTGACAGTTCACATGAACCAGAGCTTTCCACCTGGTAGATGGCGGCATCCTTCTAGTTATCAAAGCTCATCAGAAAAAACTCTGGGGCAGGTCAGGAATGTGTGTTTTGTCTCAAAGCGGGTCCCAAGTGATTGCAAATCCTGACATAACGTGAAGCTGAGCCCGGAGAACTACATCTAGGTAATCGCCTTCGACACTGAGAAGGGAAATACAATACTGGCAAGTATCACACACCACACGATGCGACTGAGCTACCAGCGGTCAGATTTAATGAGCACAGTAGCACAAATAACACTGATATGTACATAACTGCAACGTATTTTTCACTTCACTAAGGAAAATAGAGGAGCTCTTTGCATCTGCTTCTTTCTTTACACTATGTGCTGACACTGAATAACACTAAAACCCACTGGTGTTTTCCTCAAACCCATCAAGGAACAAACAGAAAAATATTGGCAACTATAAAGGGTTGATTTTAAGTTGATTTTAAAAGGTGCCACAAAGCGGCTACTCCAGGAAGCTCACTGACTGATTGATTAAATACACAGTTTTCGAGCACTGACCATCTGCCAGTTACTGGCCTGGGCTGTGGGAATGGAGTTACGAACAGATTCACAAAATTACCGTCCCTTCTACTTTACTAGTGTCATGAGAAAGACGAGCAAAAGTTAAAGAGAAAACACACGATCATTTCAGATACTGATAAACTATGAGAGGAAAAGAAAGCAAGGAGATGGTTTTAAGAAAGCTCTGTGTGGGCGTGGGCAGGAGAAGGACCAAGCACAGGGCGTCAGAAAAGACAGAAGCACTGAACGAGTGCAGTTCCTCGTGCCTACTGAACATCAGTCAAGACACCTTTGTGGTAATGCTTTTCCTTTGAATTCGAATTATTTGACTGGGCTTGAACTAAGTGCCTCTAAATCCTCAAGACACAGCTGAGGTGGAAGGAGCTGAAATGCACCAGGGGTGGGGGTAGGGGGAGGATGTTCAGAAAAAACGCTCCAGAAACTGGACATCGGCCTGTCACAGGCAGCGGGTGGTGATGACAAGGGACATCTAGATGCCACATGGAACCTTACCAGTCTAGCCTGGTCCTCAAGTCACCCTGAGTCTTTGACAAAGAAAATGCATTACCAACAACGACCATGCACTGGCAAATATGGCTAAAAACAACAGGAAGAAATCAGCGTCTGGTTTAATATATGCTATTAGAATAACAATTTACAGACGTTGCCATTGTTTTACGCACTGCAATGGTAAAGACATCAGAACTCTGGCCCTCACCAAAGGATGAACACGCTCACAGGGAAACAGCGTCTTCAGCTCGTGGGGGGAGTGACGGTCAGCGCGCGTCTTTCTGACACAAGGACCCTAACGTCACAGAGCCGCTGACTATCCATCTATTGTCACACAACCACCTCAACGTCCCATATCCTGACACAAACCCTCTCTATGATCTATGTTTACATAACAGGAAACTAATAAAGAAAAATCTTACAAACCTTGATATTCTTAAATTTCATATCTTGATTTCTTAAATTAGACAATGGATTTAATTTAAGAAATGAACTGACCGCTAAGTCAGAGGGCTCAGGGATCAAAATTTATTTCATACTGTTAAACATATTGAATGCAAGAGATTGAGTAAAATGATTATGATCAATCTGGAAAACTTTACAAAATGGTAAGTGATAAATTTTGTTATATATATTTTACCACAATTTAAAAAGTGTGCATCAAATGAGCCCTATGTTTTCAAAGATTTTTAAGCAAACAGGAAAATTTAACATATAATGTATAGCTTTTAAGATATTTTAATTACATAGACTATTTTCAAACAGCATTTTAATAATTTAAACTTTTGTCAGAATTTTTTTAAAGCTATGTAGATTTCAAAGGGCTCTCATATTCTCTGAAAATATGTAAACACAGAAAATGTAACTTAAGACGAAACAGAGTCAAGCTCTTACTTTCAAAGAATCCAAATTAAATATTTAAATAATTAAGTTAAATTAAATAATATTTAAAGGTTTTAGAGTTATTGTTTTACTTTTTACTTTGAGTTTTCCCAACAAAAATCGGTTTTGACGATGGCAACTTTCAAACAAAAAAAGCAAACAGCAACAGTGTATGTTTCATGAAAAATACTCTACCATGGTTCCAAGTAGTTGAACTTTATAATACACGTATTATGCGGTAATTCTTTAGAAGAACTTTATATTTGCTTTCCACAAATGTCATGGGACGGGCTTATTTTGCTTTTGTGGACAAAGGAAATTGTTCAAAACATCCAAGTGACTTGTTCTAAATGAAAATTAAACCGGAAAACATAATTGTGCAAGCACCACCCAGGTGCTTTTCCAATTCCACCATCCCAAGCCCCTCAACCGCTGGGGCGTCTAGCAATTACGAGTATACCACAGAGGGAGGTGAAATGCTCCACGGACAAATGGACGTAGCTCAAGTTCATTCTTGGCGCTTTTCTATGAATTGAAATCTTTTTTGTGTGTGTGCAGAAAAAAAGCCATGAAACCCCACTAACCTCAGCGCACCCCACACTGTTCCCCTTGGAATGTTCCTGTGAATTAAATCCTGCCGAATCTCAGTCTGCCGAAAGAAGTTAAACCCCCTGAGGACACCATATTTGAAAGAAAGACAACAAAAATCTGACCTTGACATTTACTCCTAGAATATTTATGGAGGAGATAGTCTCCTTTTATAAGTTTCAAGAGTCTACTATTATAAGGAAATGGGCAATAAAATATAAAAATCAGAAAGTGACTGAATGAGAAGACCTTTACTTCTCAAAATACTTTTACCACCCAAATCAAAACAAGTTTGCTTTTAAATGCGAGGTTCTATGAATGGAGCTACAAAAAAGTAAAAGTTACATCCTTTTCCGTATGCATCTTACAGTTACAGTATCCCTCCCTCATTTTTGAAGAGATGGCAAATCAAGCGGGGTTCACTGGGAAGCAGGAATTTGGAACTTTGTCTCAAAGACTGAAGAGCCAGACCTATTCACAGGTTGAAGGCAAAACAAAACCTGCGTTTTACTGCTGCCAACAGAGTATGAGATGTGGAACAAAAAAAGACAAGAGTCAATGAATAACTTTACAATATAATTATCTAGGGAGAGAAAGTAAGCGATTCCCCACTCAGGACACTCTGGTTCAGGCCAGCAAGGCATGTAAATGGCGCCCGCTACGTGTGATGTGTCTACTGGGAGCAGGACACCCTCCCGGGGCCCTTGGTGTGTGTGCGGACAGAAGCAAAGGAGACTGTTGCATAAAGAGAGACATCTGAGCAATCGACACTGGCCAAGTCTTCAAGGTTCTGACCAAAAAAGAGAAACGTCTATGTGAGCTGTCCACGGCGCTCCGTGAAGGCACACATTAGAGCCGGGGCGGGGGGGAGCGACGCAAGGCCAGGTGACGGAGTACTTTCACCCAGCAGTGCCGTTTTAGGAATTCCTACCAGAGCTTTCATTTCACCCAGTATTTACAAGCATACTTTGTGAACAGTGTTCACGGAGGGATTAAACTGTGAAACCGAGGGGCCTGCCCCAGGGGCTCTCCCTGTCAGTGCTGGGCGGGGAGGAATCGAGAGCACAGAGCTGAGCAGCAAGAAGCCCGGAAAATGGTTCTCCGTGCTCAAAAACTAGGGGAGCTGTGAAGCCTTCCCAGACCTGAAGCGCAATTCAGAGTTGCAGAAAAAGAACAGTCGCTCTTGGGGGAAAATGGTAGCGATGGCAGGAGAAAGCGCCGATCAGACGAAATCGGAAAGTGGTGGTGTTCCCAATTTCACCGAGGTCGCTGTGAGTAATACTATGTAATAATTTACCAGCAGATAAAGCTGTTTAAATACAGTGATGAAAACTGTTGCCCAGGCTACTTCCATTTTTAAGGACCCCCGTCTATTAGAAAATGAAGAAATGATCAAAAGTCACATAAATGATGGTGTATTTTAAATCGTCCATCTTATTAGAGTCTCTGTGAGTATATGAATAATTCATTTGGTGACTGCCCACACATTGTAAGACGAATGTTACTCCCTCAATCTGCCCTCTGTGCCGCAAATCCCAGCCTGTGACACACCTTGACAGAAGCACTGTAATTTCTGCATTAAAAAAATTAGGGTCTTTGATATTTTTGAAAAAATAATCATACTATGAAAATGACTGTCTTTAGTTGTCACTAACCCAAATTCAACTGGGAGGAGCCGAGGACAGAAATGAAAAACAGAAAAGAAGCAGTCCATTCCATTGATATGTTTGTTGATCAGAAATTATTTGAAGTGTCAAAATAACAGAGGAGAAAAAATTATGGAGTTCAGGACTTTACCTATAAATAAGACTTCTTAGGGAAAATCTGGTGTATTTCTATGCGAATTTTACAGTCAACTATTCTGTTAACTCTTAGATTACCTCAGGTAGGAGAACATTTGATTTGGCCTAATATTAGTAATTAACCATTTAGACAATAAATATTGCAAAATAAATTCCCTTTCCTCATATGAAGGTTATCTAATTCTCATAAAAATGTGAAAAACATACTTCCAACTTTCATGTGTTTATAATTACTTTGTTAATTCTATTTTTATTAATAATTGCCACAGTGTCCTATATTTATAATTATTTACAACTACTGTTTTGCAAACTGTGAACAAATATTTTTAAAAGTGAATAAATTCCTCCGAAAAAGTATTAGAGAAGAAAGAAAACTCAGGGGCTAAAATCCAAGGATAATCAAAGTGTAATATGCCGATCCATTATTTCTAAGCTGATCACAGCTATTTACTAAACAAAAGTAGGTATGTCCCAGGGCAGTGATTTACTGCTACATTCAAATAGCTGCGTGCGAGCAGGCCGAGGCCACAAGGGCCAGCGCAGCCGGTATCGATTAACACGGAAAGCGGGTTGCAACTGTAGGCAAGCAATTAACCTTCTGGCCCAGGGCTTTAAAACCCCAAAAGCGGTTCCTAGAATTTCTTTCATAATTTATGAACAACTAATGGAATTCATGTCACAGCCTGTGGATTCTCTTGCAGAATTAACCCCAGCTCTCACTGACCCCAAGAAGCTATAAAGCAACAGGAGAATTCGCTCTGCTATCTCCGCTGACCCCCGGGGCGCCGTCTCTGCCTGCGAGCACAGGACACGGGATGATGGATTGCAGAGCGGCCGCCAGGCACGGCCCGAAACGCGCACCTTCCCGGACCAGGAGGCCGCGCACCCGGCCCGGCCTCGGACAGCAAGCCCTCATCTCTGTTCTGTAGATGATGTTTACTCTGCTGCTGAACGTTGTACAGAGAGAGAAGGATGATGACACCAAAAGACAGTCAGGCTGTATCACCAGGGGCGCGCATACCTGCGAGTCAGTACAGGTAGGAGCAAAAACAAAACACACAGCGCCGGGGCGGCGCAGCCCGTTCCAGCAGGCGTCCTGGGGCCAGGCGCAGTGCTGTCCACACGCACCTTCATCTGTCCCTGGGCCCACACTGGCCGCTGGGACCGTTATCACGCCTGGGCTTCAGAGGAGGACAGGACGCTGCGAAGACACTGAGTGATTTACAGGCTCGTGCAGGGAGGAGAGAAGCACAGCGGACTTGGGAAGCCCCTAAGCTGACTCCAGGTTCTGTGCTCTCCATATGAACCAGGTATGAAGTAATCAGGTATGAAGTAATCAGGTATGCGCGCCAGCGGATTTTGTGGTGGGAAGGCTTCTCCATGGGTGGAGTTCAGGTCTCTGTTAGACCATAAGAAACAAACCGCAGACCCTCAGGCTTCCAAGTCTAGCTATTATCCTCAGCTGGTTGATAGGCCACAGGATAGGTCATCAAACATTAGGGAAGGTATGCAGGGCGGTCTGGGGGAAGTTCAAGAGCGACGGCAAGGGTCAGGTCATGTGTTAATAACACAAAAAATACCAGCAATGGAAGCCCTGGCAGCACTGAAGCCTCACTTGAGTCCTAGATGAACTGCGCACAAGTTGTGTGACCTCAGCAAAGCACTATATCTTGCTGGGTCTTAGGTCAATTAAGAGGCTTGAACTAGAAACTTCCTGAAATCCCTTTCTATTCGAAAAATCAAGCCTACTGTATTTTAATAATCTATGAAAGTGGACGTCTTGTGCACACTTGCTGTGCATACCTTTATTCTAATCACCTAATTATGAAGGAGTACAGAGTTTATGAAAAATAATATTTCAAAGTTAATGGAAAACCCAAAAGTGAGGTCAGACTTCACCCTAGGACAGTGGTTAATGGGAAAAGAGGAGACAGAAAAAAGAAGGTGAAGCCAGCACACAACTGGGTGGTTATTTAAGGAAGTAAAGGAGAAAATCAATCAAAACGTGAAGGAACCGGAGAACTTGCTTAAATGTTTTCTTTTAACAATATTAACAAAAGGTAACCTCATTCAAAGCACAGGAGCTACCAATGGATTTTCATATAACAGGACAGGAAACATTCCCTGAGATGATTTTAGATTCCATACAACAGTGCCTCTTTAAAAACTAACACTTGTTGAGTTTTACACAAAGGGATTTTTAAGAGTAGGCCTTTGCCTTCTATGAAAAGTGAAACTGCTATTCCACCCATTAGAATATATAAATTAAGTCACAGGTATATCACAACCAAACATTAATCAGATTATTTCCACTTTAGATAGTTAACTTAGTTTGAGAAAGTATATTTAGTCAAAATTTTTCCAGAGTAAGAAATTGGATTTTACGAAACTTTATGGGAGAGAAAACAGCCAAGATGAATTCTGAATCTGGGAGCTAGTCGGTAATATTACAGTACTCCTCGTCTTGGAAGAATGTGATTTCTCCTGGTTGTTCTTATCACCAGGTACGGCCCACGTACCTGTGTGGCTCCGGATGTGAACTCTCAGGGTCCCGCTGCTGGCAAACTTCTGACCACAGTATGGGCAGATTTTTTCCTTTTCTCCCGTGTGTGTCTATGTGGAGTGGAAGAGAAAGGGTGGAGAACCAGGTGAAGGTGATTAAGTGCCTGTGACAATGCTAAATCCTTTATTCCCAGGATTATGTTTCATTAAAATGATATCATATCACAATGAGATTTTCAACCACTTATCATGGGTATTCCCACCGGCTCAAAAAAAAGCTTGGAATCATACATTAGTGTTCATTTGAAAATAATTCCACAGTTTACTTTTTAAGCCTTTATAAAGCCCCCATCTAAGAATGATGGAGTTATACCAAACCAGTATATGCTGGCAAAACTGTACTCCAAATGGGGCTACAGTTGCCCTTGCCTGCTGCCAAGAAACATTTCCTTCGAAGCACTTTTCACATACTTCGTGTGTATTTAACGCTTCCAGACAGAATTCATCTCAATAAAGTAATCTGTTCCTTGCATTATGCTTGTCTGACTGGACTAATTTTGCTACAAAGCAAAGAGGAAGATAAATCTGACATGACCTTCAAAATCAGCAGGTGTGAACTGAACAGTCAATTTGAAAGAACAGTACTGCCCTCAACATACCTTTAATCTGGGCATAAAAAAAAAATAAGGAAAGGTAAAGGAGTATCATTCAAAAGCAAATTTTGACACCTCACGCCTGTTAGAATGTCTCTCATCAAACAGTCAACAAATAGGTACTGGCGAGGCTGTGGAGAAAAGGGGACCCTCCGACACTGCTGGTGGGGATGTAAATGGTGCAGCCGCCATGAACACAGTGTGGAGGCTCCTCAAAAAGGTAACGATAGAACCACCACATGACTCAGCAATTCCACTGCTGGGTATTTATCCAAAGAAAATGAAAACACTAATTCAAAAACGATACCTGTACACCTGTGTTCACTGCAGCATTGTTTATAATAGCCAAGGCATTTCATATAAAATTGATGCCCCCATGGTAATTAACAGACATGCTTAAATCTGTACCCCATTCAAGCTCCCAGCAGGCTTCCACTTACTTTCTTATGACTTCTAAGCACTGAAGGTGTAACGAATGCCTTATTGCACAGCTCGCATCTGTATTTCTTGTGTCTTTCGTGAACCACCTGGACGTGAACATTTAAGGTATCTTTCCTTTTGAACGTAGCATCACAGTGATGACACTTGAAAGTCCTCTCACCTTAGAAAATTAAAAGGTCAAATCAGGGACAAGTAAGATGCAACAGCAGGATCCTGCTAACTCCCCCCCCACAGATTTAGTCTGGTTTCCCCAAAAAAGTTAGCTTTATGGCTCTAACAACTTACCGCAACCATAAAAGGTAATGTTTCACAACAAATTTTGGCTCCACATTTGCTAAATCAGTGTGACTGGGGGAAGTCCTTTAACCTTATTCTATTTTCAGTCTCTTTAACTGGAAAATGTTGGGATTTAGTTAACTTCCTAGAGGTACCATGAGCTTTCTTTAAAAGTAAGTTTCTAAGACAACAGTGGGGTTTGAGATAAGGAGATTCTTGTGACAAAAGGACTCTGTACAGCAGAAGGAGTCACTTTTGGGATCCCTCCTAGCTCCCCTCAATTCCAGCACTAGCCCTGTGGCCTCTGGCGGACAAGGGAGCAGGCTGGCCTGCCCACAGGCAGCCAGCAGGGGCTCAGAGCAGCCCTCTCATCCCAGGACTGGGATGCCCCTTCCTGTCTCAGCAGCTTGAACTGGCGGCTCCGTAGTCAGCTGTGAGACAGCTGGGAGTGGGCCTCGGCCTCCCAGGCTCTCACACAGTGTGGGGGGCCGCCTCTCAAGAGGCAGTTGGATTGGGGCAGAGGGACCCAGCATGGCAATCCCCATTTATACCCCAGAGGCTCTGCTATTTGCCAGGCCTTCGCCGGCTTCTCTTTCTGTAGCCTGGGCCTGTGAGGCTACATACAAGCAATGCGTGTGCCCTATCGGAAGTCAGTGCTCTCCCTCAGGGAGCTATAAAACGTACGCAGCACATGATCACGATTTAGACAGACCAGTACCTGAGTAGATATTCCCTTCTTAGAGAACCATTATATGAGCACCGATTTACAAATTCACTATGAGACAAAATACATATTTTTCTACATCTAAATAAGAAACTACCTCAATTTCAACCAAGCTCATCTAACGCCCCTTTATTATAACCAGCATGCACTTAGCAATGTGAAGAGCCTATTATTTCTTCATAGCAAATTTAAGGGAGGAAGGACAAAAAGAAGGAAGAAAAAAGGAAAAGAAAAATTACCCTCCCTTTGTCTTTCCAAGTAGAGTGACGCCTCCTTAGTTTGAAGTCTCTTAGAGCCTTATTGAAACCCAATGCTTGAAACTAAGTCCCACCCAAATCCTCAGGAGTTGGAGAGTCTGACCTTTGTTGTTGCCTTTGTGCCTTTTCGTTTCAGGGTGTTAAGTCCTGGCCTAGTTGTCCTTAGGTATCTTTTTAGATGTATTTAAGCATTGTATATGTATAAAATATAACCAGTGAGAGTAAAAGGAAATATCAATCCACATAAGATTGCAAACATTAATAGCATATCTTATTTAGGCACTGAAAGAAATTTTTTTAAATCCTCCAAAATTGCTCCTATCAAAGCATTTTCATTCAACTATCCAGGGAATCAAAATATTGGTTCCTGTACAAAAACTTCACCAAGATACACCAAAGGAGTGCTTTCCTTTCTTCTTTCATATTTTAATTCCAGATTTCCTTGGTTTATCAGAATTTTAAAATTCTGATGTGAGATTTCTTTGCCTTAAATTTATCAGGACTTTTCCTTATCTTAGAGCTGGCTAGTAACCTGCCTTTTAGTTTTCAGAGTATTAGGAAATTGCAGTAATTTCCAAAATAATTATGACAAGTTATTCTTCTTTTCTTGAGCCAGAGTACTGATGTAAGTTTCTAACGACTTCATGTTTTGAAGGTAACCAGGTATTAATTTTCATATTGTGTTAGACAAGATCTAGTATTTTGTCATCTCTACTTAAGCCACTTGTGGTTTTCCTATCCTGTTAGCTCACCGGCCTTAACCGATGTCTAATTTTACCTCTAATCACTCATTTACTCACTCAGAGTTGGTGTTCCTCAGCAAGCGTCTCCGTGCGGCTTCCCAAAGCTTTGATCCCGGGTGTGCTGCCCGTTACATTAAATACAGAAAGCACAGTCTACACTCGGTCGCCTCAGCCACATCCTCAGCTGATGAGAACCAGCGAGCTGACATCCAGTCTTAGTTTCCTTATACTGAAAACCCCTTGCTGTTATTGCAAATAAAATTCCATCTATCCAAGGAAACATTTCCTGAGCAATAGACCAAGTTTAAAAGTCTTACTACTAGGAAGGAGGCTCCCTTGTCTAAATCCCTATTCTGAAATCCATTCATCTCGTAACAGTTGCTTTTCTTCACAAAATGATAGTGAAATGGAGTGGAAATTCCTGCTCTTCCATGACAAATTTTATTTCTTAAGTGTAGAGCTGTTTTTAAAAGGAAAGTGGAAAGTTGTGCTAAGACCATCTCCAGAGCTGTGAGGTGGCTGTGGGGCAGCATGAGAAGCAGACACTATCTTGACTGTGGGAAAAGACGCATTCCACTATATGCATGACCACTCAGTATTCACAAAATCTTTCATGTCATTATTATTTTGAATTTTAGATACTTCTACTTGACCAGAGAAAATTTCTTCCACAATACTATTTTATCTGTCCAATCAATTGTCAAGATTATTTTGCTTTCTTCTGAAATATCAAAAATGTTATGAGCAGTAGAAACTTCATGTGTAGAGGATGTTCTACTGATTCAACTCGGATGGAAAATGGATATAAATATTACTGTTAGACCACTGTTGTTCGAGACAGTGCTGCAGAAAGCCCCGGTTACCTCGCCATCTGAGCAGAGGACTTACTTTGAGACTCAGCTCAGCAGGAACATTTTCTTCTCTGACACAGCGTCTCCTTCAGTGACATGGCCATGAGGTGTGTGGTATTCTAGAAAGAGCTCTAAGTGTGACTCCTAGACAGAGTGCCTGGTGTGGATGTGTGTGACTTAAACTAAAGGAAAACAATGCCCCCGCCAAGAGAAGTCCGACCCCAGGCTGGCAAGTGGGAAAAGCAGGGATGGTCAGACCTGACGCTCCCCGGGGCCTGCGGACGTCCTTGCGTTTCTGAGTCTCAATCTTCTCCACTGTCCTCAAACTAAGAGGTCAAATTAGATGTGTACCCTGATCCTTTCCAACGTGACGAGTCTGAGAGCTAACAAAACCATGCCACATTCTGCGTGTTTTAGCGTCCGACATGTTACCTCGGTCGCTACATGTATTTTACCGTGAAGTACCCACATCTCAATGAGATTTGCATATATCCGGGCGACTGCTACCCAGATCAAAATATAAAACAGTTCCAGCACCCTGGCATGTAAATCGTTACATTTACAAGGGACCAAAACGTCTGTTTTAAACAAATTTCAAAGATACCTTACCAAGGTCAGGAAGTGCTTTTATATACAAACTTTAAATAATGGGAAGAAATGATATAAAATAAAATGTCTTATAAAATGCTGAACCTTACTGTGGGAACATAAATGAAGGATAAAGGAAGAAAACGGAGGCAGAAGTATCAGTACAAGCAGGTCACATCAGGACGTCAGGGACCGCGCGTGACGCCCACGTGCTGAAAGTTCACAAGAGCGAAGTGTGGCAGTCCCTCTCGCCCTCCCGACCTGCACGGCCTGCGCGGGGACTCACTGTTGTGGATGAGCAGGTGTCTCTGCAAGGAGAATGGGGTCCGGAACAGGGCTTTGCACTCCTCGCACTGGAACGGCCTCTCCTCGGAGTGCGTCTGCAGGCGAGAGAAACCGGAGTCAGAGCCAACCGGTCGTCACGACGACGGAGCCTGGATTCATGATGTGAAGGCGGGAAGAGGGGGAGGCGGAAAGCATCCCGTGGCTCCTGCTGACAGGCTTCATAGACGCGTGCGCACACTCAGCAGCGTCACAGGGAAGCACAACCGTGTCTTCTAATTCTCACAATCAGAAATTTGATCAATACTGCAGACAACTGTTCTTCTAATCACTGAAAGCTCATCTGAATACACACAGAGGTTTCTCAGGCTCTCCTTTGCAGAGTAAGATAACGTGCGATTTCTCTGAGTCACTGGGCAAGCTATAACCACGCCAGTACAACATTTCCAACACAAACAAAGGAAAATTGGTAAAAGGGAGACCGTTTCCACCCTTTTCCAACAATTTCACTGAATAACTTCAAATAATTTTTAGTCCTAGGTGATGCTTTTCCCATAAATTAGAGCATTCACTCATGTTATGATGCACATTACGTAACATGCATTAACTATTTATTTTGTGTCAAACGCTAAACACTTTCTATGAATTACTTCACTTAATTCTAACAGTAATTCAATGAATAAAAATATGATTATTGTCCCTATTTTACAGATGAGGAAACTAAGTCTGAACAAGTTTCAGTAATCTGCCAAATGTCAAAAAGCATAGATGCAGCAAGCACCATTAAAAACAAGACATACAAAAATATCTGATAAACAAGAAACAATAGAAAACTACCTGCTAGGTCTAAAACTGAAAAACAAAAACAACAGAGCTAAAACCTGTTTTCCGTTATATGCCAACATTAATCCATTTGGCCCAAATCAGTGATAAAAAAAAAACCCTTTTCCACCATGGATGGCAAGATAACACTATAATATCAAAAACTGAATTGTGCTCTCTTATTATAAGAAAAGAAGTCTTATCATCGAGGGGTTTTTACAATACAGGTGTCATAAAAATAAAGGGAATTGAAAGGAAAGTCACTTTATTCACAACATATTGATTTAAACATTTTAGTCTAGTGGACATTATAACATTGAAGATGCAAGCATTACCTACACACATAATGTTGGCGAGAAAGGTATTATCATGCTTTCTGTTGTGGCAAGTATAGAGAAAGGATGGGGGAACAGACATTTTAAAATCAGGATGAACTACCGATATTCAAATGTGGTGTTTAGCCAGAGAAAATAAAATGATAGGTGCAAATAAATAGGTGAATAAAATAGAAAATAGTAATAGGCTTCTTTCGTTATATAAAATAAACTTTTTTTATAGGAAAATATGGCATTTCAAATTGAAAGGAAAACCATAAAATGTTTAGTAAAAGTGCTTTATGCAACTGTCTAGACACGCAGGAAAAAATTAAGCTGGGTCTATTCCACACCCCTTACAAAAAGATAAATCCCATGTCAGTTCAGGTGTCTTAAAAAAGTCAAGAATAGGGCCGGCCGAGTGGCGCGATGGTTAAGAGCTGGCTTGGGACGCCAGAGGGCCCCGGTTCGGATCCCACATATGAAGGCCAGTGACACTGCCCTCTACAGCTAAGATGCTGAACAACAGCTCAACCTGGAGCTGGGCTGCCGTGA